GGGAGCAAGTATTGTAGTAGGCACAGGAGTCAAGGAAATCACAAGAAAACACACAGAAACAATTCACCTAGCTCATAGGAACTCACAGAGTCTGAACTAACAACCAGTGATCCTGTATGGGACTCTACATATATATATGACAGTTGTGAAGCTTGGTCCACTTGGGGAACTCCTAAAAATTGGGGCAGGTGTTATCCCTAATGGCTTTGCTGGCACTTAGGAACATATTCCTCACACTGGATTGCCTTTGTAAGCCTTAACACAAGGGGAGGTGCTTAGTCTTACTACAAATGCTATTTGATATGCTATGTTTTGTAGATATACATGGGGGCCTGCCCTTTGCTGAACAGAAAGAGAGGAGGAAAGGATTGGGGCAGTGAGGAGGGGAGGTAGGTAGATGGAGTGGGAGGAGAGAAGGGAGGGAAACTATGGTCAGAATGTAAAATAAATAAATAAATTAAAAACAAATGTGGCAAATACATAATATCATACCACTGGATATGAGAGTTCTAGAATATGTCACGCCTGCCTTCCTGAAGGCTTAGCTACTAGTGCAGATCCGAAGGTCTTCCATCCGCATTAATATTGTTGTTGGATACTCTCTGTCACCTTCCATGAAGAAGTAGGGAAAAGGTGAGTGCATCACATAAATAACATAAAAGAATTTTATCTCCAGGTAGCTTTCCAAAGGAGCCAAGTCCTTAACCTTGCTAATTCAGGGTGGGAATTGTTTTGAATTAAATATATGAGCCCTGGGCTGAAGTTCAGTGTGCTTCTATAGAACAGGGACTCTTCTGGGTTAACTGTTAGTGAACTCTGTCATTTTCTAAGAAGAGAAGTTCCCACAGACTGGAAAGCCCTTCTCCATCTGACTTATCAACAGCACACTTCCTTTAAGAGTGTTCTGTGGGACAGTGTTCATACTGTGGCGTGTTAGGAAACAGTTTTCTTACTATGTCAAATTTCCATAGCACTTGCTCTCTTTTTCTTAGGAGGATGTTATCTCTGCCTAGTGCAGCAAACAGTGATGCGTGAGGGAATTTTCCAGTTGGTTTCACTACCAGGCAAAGCGGTATGCTTTAACAACTCTATTCTGTTTCCTCAACAGATGTTTTACTCCATCCAGAAACCTGTGCACTACATTATCTGGCATGTCTGACAATTAAAATGGATGTTTCTTAACTCCTCTCTTCTCCACAAACAAAGAGCAACCATATTTTCTGCTGCCTACTTTAACTTGGATGTTAATAATAACTCACTTAAATCAGCAATCTTCAGTCTTGAAGACATTCACATTCAATTTTTTGTTTGTGTAGAGACTAAATCTTTCACACCCAGAAAATACTACTACAGCCTATGTGTCTGGCTGTGTCACACAGTAAACACAAAACACGAAGACATTCAGAGTTAAATGAAGTCAGTTTCTGTCTTATAGATTTATGCTACTAAACCATAGTCATTTCAAATCCACCTTGAAGTGGCAGGAAACCTAATCCAATGAACATTAACAAGAAAAATGGAATCCAGAATTAATTAAACTCATTTCAAATTGTTATACATTCATTTTCCAATCAAACGCAAACAACTAGTTCCTATGGTTTTATTGTCTAGTCTTTGAAATTATAAACATGAAGATTTTTTAAAGATTATTAATAGAATATGTGAATTTAAAGTTGATGAGTTATTAAAACTTAAAAAAATCCATGGTAGTTGTCAATTAATGAATAGTTATAATACAAATAAATAATTTGAAATGACATACAGAAAATGCATTCATATTCTTGGAAACTTAGATAGTCTGCTAAGGTTATTCATTTACATTATTGTGTTGAAACTCCTGTCACAAATCTTGTTCCTCTGTGTCTTGCCACATGACTTGGTCACAAATATTATTTTGAAAATACAAAAGCAAACAAAGATTGGTCCCCTCATCCCACTTAGCAGAAGCAATGTAATCTTCCCAATCTATATCTTTTTATTTAAATCAAATTCCTTTTATTTTAAGAGAGGAATTCATCCTTTTGGCATAAAAGAGAAATCCACCTCATGTTTCCTTCATAAGCTTGTCTCTAATGAAATTGATTATCAATTCTCTCTGCTTATAAATTATGTCTGTTTTTCTACAATATAACAAACAATGCTGTAGTTATTCTACCAATGTGAACATAAAATGCAATGTTTACATTTCCCTTGTATTCTTGGTCAGTCTTTAATATCTATATGTAGGTAAGAGCTGGACACACACGGACTATAACAGATAGACTCCAAACAGTCAAAAATGGAAGGCAGTGATTCTGAATAAAAGAACCACACACAGTGAATCCCATCCTTCTTTGCCTTTTCCCCTGCAAACATTTGGGGTTGCTCTTTGGTTTTAACTAAGGTATGAGTAGCATTCTGAATACAAAAGTAGTTAGACTGTGTCAAGAAAAGCAATTGTGGTTTAGTTATAGGAAAGAATGTTATGAATAGTCACAAAGACAATATGTTTTAATTCACACTCTGATATGGAAGAATCTCAAGTATAACCTTACAATTCCATTCATTCATATGTGTGACAAAAACATGTGAGATCACAATGATGATGGAAGTCATGACCATGTTTCCAAAAAGTATTGATATGTAAGTAACAAAACCCTACCTTATAGAAAAAAACAAACTCTATTTATATCCATGTGGTTATTATGTGAAATTGTGAAAATGGAAAACCAAATTTACACTTTTGTCCTAAGTCTTTATATTCTATTCTAAATTCAACCAAGTCATAGAAGAATGAAGATGCAAGAAGGTGATGCTAAGGCCTTGGTCTTCACTTCATATTTGTTGAAATCACAGTCAATGCTCATAAAGAATTATACTGTTATAAGCCAGTGCTGATTTCTCATAGAGTTCCCTAGTAGTAATATCTGCCCTCATGACTCATCTGCTCTTACTGAGCTCACCTATTCATATCCTAATGTATCACATTCTCCAGACTTTTTTGGGGGCTGGGGAGATAGGGGATAACCTTTGCATCCCTTTTCCCCCTAAAACTCCGTTGTTACCTCTTTAGCTTTTACTCATCCCTTAAGCCAAAATCTTTTGGATATATTTACTGAAAACTGTGAGTTAAAAGTGATTATCTTAAAATCTTAAACATGCATATTTCCCAAGACTCTGTCATCTGGAATCTTAGACTGTCTTCACACAAGTCCAGCCTTGTCAACTGTGAGAATAAATAAAGGCTAAAATCCACTGTTTGATAAGGAAAGGATCATTTCTTCTGAGATGGCAAACAACTTTACATTTTCTGTAGGTTAACATAGAGATTTGAGTGGCATTAATATAGAGTTTTTGTGGCCATAATTAAGTGTATTAGTTAACATTATAGTAACATGCTATAGGAAGCATGTTGTTTTCACCCATTTTCATACAGTGGGATTTGGAACCTTTTCGATTTTACTGATGCTAACTTGATGTCTGGAATAAGTTATGCACTTACTTTCACCCTGCCCTATTTCTAGTGATATCTACTTAGATTGCAAAGATCACAGCATAATTTTATGATTTGACCTGGGCATGTATACTTCTTTGGTTGTGTATCTATGGTGTGATAATCTGAACTTCTTTAGGTTGGGGTAACACAGGAAAAGTACAACCTAGGCTAGGCCAGGTAAATCTAGGTAACCTGTTTCATTGGATGAGAAGAAGATGACACCCAAACCTTGGATCTAGAGCTAGGCCAGGCAAAGAGGAATCACAAATGAAGAAGAATAATGATCACAGGTCTGGAAATAAACTCGTGGCTTTGCAGTTGCTGGGAGGTTGGGGCTATAGAAGCCAAGCTCACACCTTTAATCCCAGCATCCAGAAGCTAGGATTAAGAGATAGAACTATTTCTGTGATTTCAAGGACACTCAGGGATATGAAAGTCTGAAATAGAACTATAGTTCATGCCTTTAATCCCAGCACTAGAGGTACATAAAAGACAGGGGCAAGGATTCAGTAGGGGCGTTCATTCTCTAGCCATGATGAGGAGAGGTTTGCATTCTGAGGATTGGTGAGGCTGATGGAGACAAAAACAGCTCATTCAGCCTGAGATAGAGGTAAAAAGCCAATGATCTCTGCTTTGCTTTTCTGATATTCAGCTTGAAGCTTGAACCCTAATATCAGTCTCTGTGTCTTCTGTTTACTCATGTTACATGGGAGATCCAGGTCACTGTGCCAGACAGAAAGGACTAGGTCCTTACACAGATAAGACTACAAGTATATTAGAGTGAGTGGCAAATTGAATTCTGAATGTCAAAATTGAAAGTGGACCACAAGCTAACAAACCGAATTTTCACTGCCATTTCCCTATTTTCTCCTGTAATGGAAGTCTCTAACTCCTTGGTCTAATCAAGTACTATCCAATCTTTAATATTCAGGGAAATTCCTTCTTTGTGTAGTTTCTAGTGATTGCTGTACTGAAAATGCTGGCTATATGTCAAAACTTAAAACTTCAAGACACAATATTATATTTAGTTTATGCATGGTTCCATGAGTTCTAATTTAATATCTAAAAAGACTACAAAACTCTTGAATGTCATATATGTAAACACTCTCATATGGATTCTCAAAGCTTCCTTCGAAAAGCTCTGGGAAATTCTGGGATAAAATTTAAAGGGTCCTCGAGGTACCTGCTCATCTTAACATGTGTGCGAAGTTAAAATTTCCTCATATATTTCAAGCATATCTTATTTATCACAACAGATCTGCACACGCCCACTTTTAATTAATCCAAACAATAAATGTACATGTTCAAATATAAACTAATGTTTTTCACCTTAGTGACTATTTTGTTTTGAAATACATTAACTAGTTTTTTAAGTTACCACACAAGTGAAAGGTGTCATGGATGTGTTATTATTCAAAGTGAATTAATAATTACGTTGTAAAATCTTAGCCTTAATTTCCAGTACTTTAAATGATAGAATCCATATGCATGAAAGCTCTTTGGAGTTGATAGAGTTTTTTGCTTTTTAAATATAAAGCACTTCATGAGTTTGCATGTGCTCCTTGCACAAGGAATTGCTACCCTTCTCTGCTTCGTTTCAATTTCAGTATAAGTGCTGCCAAAGCAAGCACTTCTGTCGTGTTTAGGAATCACAGGACATATGCCTAACTTATACTGAGAAGTTGGGTTGAACAATATTTGTTCTAGATCATTGTAGCGTTGCTCACCACTTAGGTGACTGTGAACCTTTATACCTCACTGTGACATGCTTCTGAGGGGCACATTTCTTGTGCTAGACTTCTCACATGGAAAAAGTGTTGAGACTGACATGCATTGACAGACATTTAAAGGGAAGGGAAGTTGTTCCAAAAGATAAGCTCTATCTACCATGAGTCAGTCTGAGTATGGTGAAGTATGTTTCTACTCTCAGCTAGGATCTACCTATCCATGAGCCCCAAATCCCCTGTAACATGCCTGGGTTCACTTGCTCTGGCAAGTCTGCAATTGCTTGAGGAGGGCAGGCAAAAGGTGGTCCACACCCTGGTTCTGGTCCTGTTGACCCATCTTGTTTACTAGTAGTTATCCAAAGGTAAGAGTTGTGATTCCATTGGAGTAGGGGACTCTCTGAAAGAAGGAAATAGAAAAGGGAGTGGAAGAACAGGTATCTAAAGAATTTGTCTTCTTCAGAAACCCAGAAATGCTTCTGACAAAAGACATCTTGCTTCTGCATGGACTGCTTATTTTCAGTTGTCCATACTGCTCTTTCATGAATGCCTGAGTTATCAGAGAACATTCAGGATCTTTGTCACTAGCCACTTGTTCACAAACAGAGCCATATCTGGACTGCTTCCTCTAAGCCTGTTTTTCTAAAAGGCTCACTTATCTATTTCAACTAATTAGAATATCCTTTGTACCCCTAACCGCACACACTTTACTTAACGATAGAAAGCTGTCTCTCTCTGATTATGTTTATCATATCCCAAATATTACATTGACCTTCGTTCTTCCAACACATTCATCTCATTTTTTCATCTTCACTTTCCCCAATTCCAGTGTAATAATCGAGAGAGAAATGAATAGAGGACTAAATTCCAATCCTTCAGTTATTTGAACTTGAGCATTTTTCTCCACCTTTCTGGGCCTCAAGTATTTGATTTGCAAAATTATTTTAATAATACTCAATTTTTCATATCTCACAGAAAATCTCACGGTACAAAAGATTAGAGAGTATATCAAACTGTTTTAGATAAAAGCAATGTACTGGTAAATAGGCCATGTGCATAATGTTTTCATTAGGCGGCACTGCTCAGGCATTCCATTCTGACCCCTACTCTGCCAGCTATGCTCTTCCAGCTGTATTTCTTTGTTCTCATAGGTAAAATCTTGATTCGTTTATTCAGTACACTTTCAGTTTATTGACAACAATAAGCCAACAATGTTCAGGGGTGGGGTAGGTCAGACTGTAGACATAAGGATATTGCAGCTTTCTTAACCATGGAAAATCTGCACAATCAGTCCTTAGGACTGACAGGAACAGGGATGCTATCAGCCTGGATAGGCTGTGTGGCTGCTGAACCAACAAACCCCCGAGCTTCAGTGGCATAATCCTATCTGGTATTTGCCAACGATGGGCAATAGGGCTCCCTTCCTCCCTAAAGTCCCCAATGAACTCCCCAGGGCTGGGTGTGAGAAATTAAAAAAATATTTAAATCAATGTTTTAAGTATCTCTGATTAATAATATGTGATGTCTTCAGAACCTAATTCTCATGTGAAATGCCAATTTTTCTTTACTGAGCCATAGCTAACTACAACATTGCATAAATCAAGAGAGCTTTGATATTCTCCTTTGTTACTTGAAATTAGAAGGAAACCCATGGAAGATGAGCAGAACAATTAAGTGACTTAGTACCCTAGAATAGAGTTTGGACAGGGACTTAGTGGCTGGGGATGTAGCTCAGAGATGTTACAATGGCCCTGTGCTCAAGAGGCCCTGGGACCAGTCCTTAGCACCACAACAAGCTCTATCCTATTCTGGGTCAGCAAGAACTGCTTCTCAGATGAGTTCAAAATTGTACCTGAGTGGGGAAAAGAGGAATAGGCAACAAAGAAGTGTGACAGTTGAACGCAAAGTGATAACGTATTTTTAACCACAGAGGATCATGGTAACAAAGGATACTTTATATTCATCAGCGAAAACCAGTGCTACTCTCAATATTGAGACAGACTTTGTCATGTTTTGAAGCCCTGCATATACAGCACGACAAAATTTTATTCTGTAAACCATTGCAATGCCAATGGAAGATTGGAGGAACAAAGCAATCAGAAAACATTTTATTTTAAGGAAGAGACTGTTCGAAAGTAGAATGAGTTGGAAAGAAAAGAAGTAGATGACAAAGAATGAGAATGTATCACAAAAGATTCATGGAAGATAATAGAGAATGAATATGAGGTGCAGATTTAATAGGTGGCTTTCAAGTAGAATTTATTTTTAAAATGTGACCATCTATATAGCATTTATGGAAAGTAAATCAGAGAATTGTGTCAGGAATACTCTTTAGATGACTACTTAAAATTCACACTGAAGAACTAGAATATAAATCAGATCTGTGACCAGGAAGGTCGGGGGAAAGGCATTGAGTTTCATTTGGGGCATTCAGGCTTGTGGTAAACAGACGCCTCAACCTTGGTGATGCAATGGTGAGCAGGGAGCCTTGAAGTAAAGACATTGGAAATGAAGTTCAGAGAGAATTGTATCATTACCCTGTAAAATATAAGGTTCAAAATTTGATTGAAAAATTATTGTCTTGTGGGATTTTCAAAGTTCAAAAACATGAGTTAGAATATTAATTAAAGATATGATTCCAGGTGGACAGGCTAGCATGGTCCTCAAACTTTAGTCCACAGGAGGTGAACAAACAAGGATCCAGGGATCCCAAAGTAGCCTTAAATACACAATGAATCTCAAAAACCCAAGGGTTAGACATGAAAGACAGTGAGGTGCTCGCTTTGCATGGAGATTGGCCATGGGTATTATCCTTGGCACCATGCCAATAGAGGAGGCATTATTCTAATGATTTATTCACTGTTTTAGTTGCCTTCCTTTACTTTTGCTAAGAGTACTGGTTTGTAGTTTTATATTTGAATGTAGGCATATGTGTTTGTGTGGAGGTATCTGAGTGTGCAGGGAATACAATCATATAGATTCCCTCAGAATTCAGAGGCATTGTATCTACTAAGAGCTGGAGTTACCCGCAGTTCTGAGTCATCAGATAAGGGTGCCAGGAAATGAACTCCAGTCCTCTGCAAAAGCAGCACATGTTCTTCAGCACCAAGGCTCTGCTGTAGCTCCTACTCTGAGTTTAAAACCACTTACGGCATAAATCCTGAAAAGTCATTCTCGGATGTATGGTTCATTCACTTATGAAAAATTTATAATTGAAGATACATCCTTTTAGAAAAAAAGTGCATCTCAAAGAACCTCCTCACATTATTTCATTCTTGAATAATAGACTAAAGCATCCCAAAGAGACATATATACCATCATTTTTTTAAATTAAAAAAAGCTATTTTATAAGAAAAAAGAGGAAAAGATGTTGTTGGCATCTGGTTTTCCTACAGCATCTGAGATAGACATCTCTCTGAATGGGTTCCCCAATTTATTGACTAAGTAATTCAATATGAAGGAGAAGACAATGCCATCCTTTTGTGTTTCCATTGACATCAAGTTGAAGGTTCTGCTAAAGTGAGGCATGTGACTAGCTGCCCAGGCCACTTCCTTTCCTTTTGTTCAATTGGACGTTTGGGTTTACTCATCTCTGCTTGAGACCTGCAGTTATTTTGATGTAGCCAGTTTGATACCTTTAGATAGGAAAATGTATTCTGAAGCCAAATGACACAAGTGTGTGTCCTGGCATTAACTTTAATGTGCACCTGGGTTTCAAAAAAAAGGAAAAACAGAAACCCAAGTTGCTTTCTTTCCCTTTTGGGATTCAACCCTAACACCATTTTGTTTAAATTTCAGTTTCAGTTTCATCAAAGTCAAATGTGTTTATGTGAAATTGCACACCAGATGTTCATGGCCATGGATGTTGTAGAGTATTTCATCGCCAATGTGACCCTGTGGATTTCACAATCATGAACCAAAGCAGGATGTTTATATAAGGTTTCAACCATGCACTATATGGAAATTTGCTAATAAGGGAGTAATGGCCTCAAAGATATATCTATTATATATATTTTATTATATATATTTTATTATATATATTTTAGATAACTCATTTTAGGCAATTAGGGCCTGTACAAGTTGAAGTTAGAAGATGTATAAATCGATGGAGGGTGCTTATATGATTTTGTTTCTATAACTTTTATCATCAATCTGATGTGGCCTGTGAAGTAAGATAAAGGAAAACAAGGTTTACTGAACATTAAACATGATTATTGTGTGGCTGCTTTGTCGACTTCATTGTTTAGCAACCACATTTGCACCCTCCTCAAAATGCAAAAACAAAAACCACACAGAGTGCTGAACCTTACCACTGAGTTTCTGAATCTAGCCTTGGATACGGCCTGCATTCTTAAAATGTTCTCTCAAGTTCTAAAGCTGCTGTTCTTTATCCAAGAGCTATACCTTTGTATGGTTGAATGAGTATCTGGTCAAATCAAGCCTATTGAATGTATCAGTCAATTTATCATTGCTGTAACAAAATCATAGGAGCTGGATTCTTTGTTATGAAAAGAGGTTTACTTAGCTTACAATTTTGAGGTTGACTTTACCAATAGTATATTGCTGGATCTGGAATGATCTCTCTGCTTGTCATCACATGTCCAAAGTTATCATGGTAGAAATATGCACAAAAGGGAGAATGACCTTTCAAACTATAATATCCACAGACCACACACAGGGTATTTTATAGCTTATAGTGACTGATTTTTGAGAAGACTGACAAATCATGTGGGAACTGCATAAATGTTTCCTGAAGGCAATGTTCAAATGTCCTAATTGCATTCCATTAAGCCCCACCTTTAACATTACCTCACTGAGACCAAGAGTCTAATACAAGAGCTGTTGGAAGACTAACCACATGTAAATCAGTTCTTGTGAAATGAACTGAGAAGAGCAACTGATGGTTC